AAGCCATTCCCAAAACTCTTCTGGACTCCACGGCTGTTCACACCTCTCACAAGTGACCGAGGAAGGGTGGGCCTTATTTCCTTCACCGCAGTTATAGCAGCTCGCCGTGGAAGTGTATACAGGTCCATGCTTAGCTTCCCATTCACAAGCCTTCTGAGCTAATCCGAAAACGGATAGTTCAGGGGACAATACAGGGGTTAGGACACCACCGTGCCAGTCATGATTCAGAATGTCGTATGCCCAAACCAGGTAGCGTGATTGAATTCGCAAATCAGTCTCTCCCTCCGCGACAATCTGAAACTTATTTCCCGAAATATTAACTAGATGAGATGGAGGTGAGTCACTCATGATGGTTTGGATGAGCGACGTGTGTCCAGGATCACTATTGCCTATTCCGGCCAATGCTGCCACTCTCTCTTGTATTTTCTGTCTTCGGATATTCCTGCGACTCGCCTTTGCAACTTGATCCAAGGGCACTCGTAAGGTACCCAACTTCTTCAGAACAAGCCCCTCGAACTCAGCCACTGACATATCCCCATCAGCCTTACACTTTGTCTGTCTCGATCGTCTCCACCGTCTCCACCAACGGCGCATGTGGTCGACAAATCCGATGTTTAAAGGCCAGCTATCCAGAACATCATTAAGTGCGGCATCAACTTGACTTAACGGAATAAACCAACTACCACTACTACATGATAATTGATTCCTAAATCCAACGTCGTTACGATCACTTTTGGATCGTACCAACCACGCGACTAAAGCTGCATCATCCCATTTAACGGTACCTTTTCTGTTATAAGAAATGGTTGTCAAGATCCAATTTGGGGCAGTACTATTTGCTCGGTCGGCTTCCCACTTGGCAGCCGCAACGGCCAATCCGAAGACTGACATTGAATCCGTTATTTTGAATGGTACTAGATGCTGCCAGCCATGATGAAATACGTCATATGCCCATACCAGATATTTACTGTCAACCTCCCATTCTTTTTCTTCAGGGTGAATGAGAACAAATGCAGGTGTACCCTTGATTATACTAGAACCATCGATCCTATCATCGATCCTATCATCGATCCTATCATCGATCCTATCATCGATCCTATCATCGATCCTATCATCGATCCTATCATCGATCCTATCATCGTTCTCTGGACTCACAGAGTTCCGTTTCATTTTACCCCCAATTTGGGCACCGGATATGTCTGCTGGCCCATCTACTTCCACCAACGTATCTTCCGCGAGGTCTGCTACGAATCTATGGGAAGCCTTAATAGCTGTCGTTCTAAGCCAGTGGTCCCGCTCAGCTGACCCTTCTAGGAACCTGTCCAGGAAATGCTTCCGGGGACCCCGCCTAGTTGCGGATTCCAAGCACACTTTCTTTGGTGGTGAAGCATCCTCTGTGAGGGCATCTCTCTGTGGCAGGTAGCAAGTGACCACACCAGCATAACGTTTAACAGCTTTATCTCCAGTGGGCGTCAGGTCCATTGCAGCGCTGCTAACTGACGGTAACCTGATAGGAGTCCCCAATAACTCCCCTTCGGGTCTGGAGTTACGCTCCATGGGTTGTGACTGCGAGGCAGTAACATGCGAATCGATGCCTCCCCAGCTCAATAAAATATTGACTAGTCCGCACGTGGAGAGAGGCTTCCGTAAGCTTGGCTGAGGTGGCATCTTCTTTTCGTTGGCGAATATATAATTAATACCGGAGCCCCAACGGATCCAAACCAACTACTGCCTTGGTCATAGTGCTGCATCGTGATGCGTGCTTATGTAGATGGCATGAATCCACCGGGTTCCTTTGCCTCACATTCTTGCCCGGCTATAATGTGGGTGCTTCGGGTGGGTGGGGATCCGAAGTTGGATATGTTCACTCTCCTTCTGTCCGCCAATCAATAGCCACGACCCGATATGTGAAACACGCGTGTGTAGTTTGCCTGAAAATTAATCAGTATGCATCTAAGGTGTGCTTTGCATTCCAAACACATAAATTCGTCCCAAAAATAAAACGTGTAGACCGCCAACCTCGGGACAGAAGTTCTTTATCAAGTCCTCCGGGTCCACATCAACGGTGGCACATCAACGGTGGCACATCAACGGTGGCACATCAACGGTGGCACATGAAGCGAAATACTTAGACGACATAGCCTACGCGGCCAAGCTGATGTTTGAACCAGCCTCCGAACTTGAACGAAGAACCTTGTGCAGGATCAACCGCTCTAACTCCCATCGACAAAATCCGTCTGGATGCTGGCCGACATGCCTGATCCAATTGCTCCACCATCTGTAGTATCGGGCGCCGAATGACGGGTCATCGTCTGTCGGAAAGAATTTCTGGACTATTCCTGCGGGCATCATCTTGAATGTCGGTCCTTCACGTTGCACCGGACAATCAAAGCCGATTTCGTCGATTATCCTAGACCAGTGACGTCGATCGAATGTACTTGAGTCATAAAATAAATCGTGACTGGGGTATCTTGGTTGTCTTGAGTCCTTTATCTGATTAATGTTCTTCAGTTGATCGTAGACGGTTAAGAAATGTCTCGACCGAAGCCATTCCCAAAACTCTTCGGGGCTCCAGCGTTGTTCGCACCTTTCACAACTTGTCGTTGAACCATGGACTCTACTACCTTCTCCACAGTTATAACAGCTCGCCGTCAAAATGTAAATTTTTCCACCGTTGTCTTCCCACGCACAAGCCTTCTGGGCCAACTCGAAAACTGACAGTCCAGGAGACCACATGGGTTGGGGTACTCTACAGTGTCTTAGCGAATCGTACGCCCAAACGAGATAGCGTGGCTGAATTCTCAGTTCAGCCTCTACGGGATGTGCCGGTGTGATTACCTGAAACTTGTTTCCTGAAATATCCATTAGATGTGGTGGATGTGAATCGCTCATGATCGCCTGGATGAACTTGTCCTGATTAGAATCACTGATCTTTCCTCCAATCAATTCTGCCACGCTGTCAAGTATTCGCTGCCTGCGTTGGGTCCTTCGTATTTTTTTTGCAACCTCACTTAGTGGCACTCGCAAATCTCCCAACTTCTTTACGACTAACCCTTCGAACTGCTGCAACGATAGAAATTCAGCGCGATCTGAACCAGCTGAGAAGGAAAGCTTGAGCTGAGTACTATAACGGCTGCGCCAACAATTCATTATCTTTGCAAATTGATGACTACGACACTCATCTATCGGCCAGGTACCCAGCACGTCACGAAGCGCATCATCCACCTGGTTCAATGGAATGAACCAACCACCTGCTCTTTTATCCATGGTTCCACACCCAACGTCGTCTGCAGATCGGTTCATCCGCAACCAAAACAAGAACACCGCCGGTGACCAAGGCGCATGAAAGGTACTGTAACATTTTGCTTCTAATATGGAGCTACCTCTTCTGTTAGCCAAACCCCTTCTCGCTGCCTCCCAATCGGCCGCTTTTCGGGCTAATCCAAAGACCGATACAGGCTCCGACACTTCGAACGGCACCAAATGCCACCAGTTCCAATAAAATATGTTATGTGCCCATACCAGGTACTTTGGGGCAACAGCGGATGGGTCCTCTTGCGGGAAGATTACTTGAAACGCAGGGATAGACTCGTTACTCCCAGTACATGTGCTACTTTCCACTGTTGAAAAGACCCCAACCGTGTGGCCCACAATTGGACGGTCAACCAGCGACACGGCTAAGTCGTGGGAGCTAGCTGTAGGGTCAGGCTTTCCACAGACCTGCTCGCTAACGGGATCCACCTGATTCGTACAATAAGAGCTTACTCTTTGTACAACCAAACGCTCATGTTCCCATCCACCAAAGCTGTTTGAGGATTGTTTAAACCTTCTAGTCAAGTACGCGAATCGGCCCGACAACGATCGAAAAGCAGGTGTTGGCAGGAACCTCTCGATTGCTTGATGGCACATCTCGAATGTGCACTGTTTATTTCCCGTCGGAACATCGAACCCGATCTCACCGATCATCTTGTACAACCGATCCTGATTGTTGACGAATTGAGTTGACTCTGCTAATAGTGGTCTACGGGGGTTCTTTAGCTGATCCCAGATCCTCTGGAAGTGTCTCGACCGAAGCCATTCCCAAAACTCTTCTGGACTCCACGGCTGTTCACACCTCTCACAAGTGACCGAGGAAGGGTGGGCCT